AAAAAAAAAAAAAAAAAAAAAAGAAATAAGGAATTAGTAAGGTTAGTAACAATAGGGGTGACGATGAGTCGTCGCCGACGATCAACGTTGTATCAATCAGATGGATGGACGGACGAGTCGTCTGCAGTGCACAGCAGCACAATACCAATTGGTCATCGATGTTTGCTGCTCGACAATAACTCATCCATAATCCTTAATCCAATTCATCGTTTACTCCGCCCAATGGGTACAGTTTTTTTTGCATCAAATGAATACGACCTTCAAATTTATTCACACTTATAGTTTTTTTCTTTCATAAATTCTTTTGTTCTTCTTTCTTCAACAACTATAGAATTTATCCCATCCGCAAGTTTTTATAAAGCAACAGTTTGGCGCTTCAGTGTTTAGTGTTCCTTTGTTATGGTAAAGCAGCTAACTGTTTCAACGAATTCTAAGATGAACATTATTTTGCGGTCATTTTGTTCTTTCTTTTTTGAACATATTATTAGAGATGTTGTCTTCAAAATACAAAATTAACAGTCAAAAAATACAAAAAAAAAAAAATACGTCAACTAATTAACAGTTGTTATAATACGGTAGGGCAGAAATTTTGGTAAAATTGAATTCAGAAGTGCAAATAGAAAATTGCATAACTAAAGCCAAAGATTACCCTTGTCGTAAAATAAAGTTTAAAAAAGTATTCTAACTTATTTACTATTTGCCAATAAAATCAATTGACTCTTTTGTGCTAAACTTCATATTTTACTGTTTTTTCTCAGCCATCTTCAAAATAACTTTTTTTTTTGTTTGCTCTGATTAAGGACAACTACATTAGTCGTATCAAATTATTTATACTTAAACTGTAAAATTTTGATCATTTTAACATCACTATATAAAATTTTATAAAAATTTTTTAATCGTTTTTCATTTTTATATGTTGCTGCAAACAGTCATACATATTTTTGGCATACTGACGAGAAATATAGACGAGAAGTACAATTGCACATAAATTTTCTGAGACAAATATATGTTGATCAGTATAAAACAGCTCTATGTTAGTTTTCATCGTTAATTTTACTATAAAAAATTTAAAAAAGAATTGCACTTATATCTGTTTAGATTACTGAAGAAAGTTGCATTAAAATTTGTTATACAAACTGCATTTAAATTATG